GGCCCAAGCTCTACTGTTGTGACTCCACCCCCTTGGGAGGCCACGCCCCTCAGTCCCACCCCCCTAAGCCCCGCCCCCCCGATGCCCCGCCCCCAGGAGATCTACAAGGACCGGCAGAAGTTTTCGGAGCAGGTTTTCAACGTGGCCTCGTCCGACCTCGTCAACATGGGGATCAGCGTGGTCAGCTACACCCTGAAGGACATCCACGACGACCAGGTGACACCGGCGGGGACACGGCGGGGGGGTACAAGGGTGACAACATGGTCAGTGACACCCTGAAGGGCGTCCACGATGGGCAGGTGGCACCGGGCAGGGACACGGGGGGGACAAGGGTGACAACATGGGTCAGGTAGACTCTGAAGGACATCTACAGTGGTCAGGTGGCACTAGGGACATGGGGACGTGGTGGGGACATGGGTGCTATCATGGTCAGTGACACCCTGAAGGACATCTACAGTGGCCAGGTGACACCAGGGAGGGACATGATGGGGACAAGGGTGACAACATGGTCAGGTAGACTCTGAAGGACATCTACAGTGGCCAGGTGGCACTAGGGACAAGGGGACGTGGTGGGGACAAGGGTGTCATCATGGTCAGCGACACCCTGAAGGGCATCCATGATGACCGGGTGACACTGGGGGGGGGACACGGTGGGGACAAGGGTGACAACATGGTCAGGTAGACTCTGAAGGACATCCACGATGACCAGGTGGCACTAGGGACAAGGGGACGTGGTGGGGACAAGGGTGTCATCATGGTCAGCGACACCCTGAAGGGCATCCATGATGACCGGGTGACACTGGGGGGGGGACACGGTGGGGACAAGGGTGACAACATGGTCAGGTAGACTCTGAAGGACATCTACAGTGGCCAGGTGGCACTAGGGACAAGGGGACGTGGTGGGGACAAGGGTGTCATCATGGTCAGCGACACCCTGAAGGGCATCCATGATGACCGGGTGACACTGGGGGGGGGACACGGTGGGGACAAGGGTGACAACATGGTCAGGTAGACTCTGAAGGACATCTACAGTGGCCAGGTGGCACTAGGGACAAGGGGACGTGGTGGGGACAAGGGTGTCATCATGGTCAGCGACACCCTGAAGGGCATCCATGATGACCGGGTGACACTGGGGGGGGGACACGGTGGGGACAAGGGTGACAACATGGTCAGGTAGACTCTGAAGGACATCTACAGTGGCCAGGTGGCACTAGGGACAAGGGGACGTGGTGGGGACAAGGGTGTCATCATGGTCAGCGACACCCTGAAGGGCATCCATGATGACCGGGTGACACTGGGGGGGGGACACGGTGGGGACAAGGGTGACAACATGGTCAGGTAGACTCTGAAGGACATCTACAGTGGCCAGGTGGCACTAGGGACAAGGGGACGTGGTGGGGACAAGGGTGTCATCATGGTCAGCGACACCCTGAAGGGCATCCATGATGACCGGGTGACACTGGGGGGGGGACACGGTGGGGACAAGGGTGACAACATGGTCAGGTAGACTCTGAAGGACATCTACAGTGGCCAGGTGGCACTAGGGACAAGGGGACGTGGTGGGGACAAGGGTGTCATCATGGTCAGCGACACCCTGAAGGGCATCCATGATGACCGGGTGACACTGGGGGGGGGACACGGTGGGGACAAGGGTGACAACATGGTCAGGTAGACTCTGAAGGACATCTACAGTGGCCAGGTGGCACTAGGGACAAGGGGACGTGGTGGGGACAAGGGTGTCATCATGGTCAGCGACACCCTGAAGGGCATCCATGATGACCGGGTGACACTGGGGGGGGGACACGGTGGGGACAAGGGTGACAACATGGTCAGGTAGACTCTGAAGGACATCTACAGTGGCCAGGTGGCACTAGGGACAAGGGGACGTGGTGGGGACAAGGGTGTCATCATGGTCAGCGACACCCTGAAGGGCATCCATGATGACCGGGTGACACTGGGGGGTGTCCCCCACCTCCCCTTGTCCCCACGTCCCCCGGTGTCCCCCACGTCCCCTTGTCCCTCGGTGTCCCCCATGTCCCCGTCACCCCGCAGGAGGCGCGGGCGCGCCAGGAGCAGGTCTCGGCGCAGCTGCTGAGCGAGACGGCGATGGCGCAGGCCCAGCGCGACTTCCAGGTGCAGCAGGCGCTGTGCGACGCCGCCGTCAGCGCCCGCAAAGCCCAGGCTGACCTGGCCTACCAGCTGCAGGTACCCCGGGCGCCTGGGACCCCCCCAGATGCCTGGGACCCCCCCAGACACCCGGGTCCCCTCCCCAGGACACCTGGGTCACCCCCCGAATGCCTGGGTCCCCCCCGAATGACTGGGCGCCCTTACTGGGATGCCTGGAACCCCCCTGGGATATCTGGGACCCCCCCACAGGCACCTGGGACCCCCCGTGACGTGGTCCTGGGTGCGTGGGTCCCCTCCCCAGGACACCTGGGTGCCCTCTGCACGCCCCCAGGACGCCTGGGTCCCCCCCCAGGACACCTGGGTCCCCCCCGAATGCCTGGGTCCCCTTACTGGGATGCCTGGGACCCCCCTGGGATATCTGGGACCCCCTCACAGGCACCTGAGACCCCCTGTGACATGATCCTGGGTGCGTGGGTCCCCTCCCCAGGACACCTGGGTGCCCTCTGCACCCCCCCAGGACGCCTGGGTCCCCCCCCGAATGCCTGGATCCCCTCAGGACACTTGCATCCCCCAGATCCTGGGGTCCCCCCTAAAATATGGGTCCCTTGGGATGCTTAGGTCCCCCTCCAGACACCTGGGTGCTCTGGATACCTGGGTCTCCCCAGCGCCTTGCCCC